CCCCCCCCTGCCCCACCCCACTCCTCGCTATGCCACCGCGGCATTTCAATTCGCGGGGCGTAACTCGTTCGCGTGGCTGTTACTTCCGCCCGGCTCGTCCCGCACATAAGTCGGCCAGCCGCCCTTCTCCAGCCGCCCTCGAGCCGCTCTCTCCAGCCGTCCTGCTCCAACCTTCCTTCAGCCGCTCCACCTCCAGCCGCCCTCCAGCCTCCCTCCAGCCGCCACACTCTCCACACCCTCTGCTCCAGCCGCTCTCCAGATTTCATTCTGCGACCGCGATGTCGTCCCATTGTGCTGTTGGGACGGACATACGAGCGCTGCGCACGCAGAGGGCACGCTGCTGGCGACCTCCGGTGGTGTTCCCCGGGCCCTCGGCTCGCCCTCGCGCCCACCAACGGTCTGGCCTGGGTTGGCCGGAGGGTCGCAATCCTCCGACCCATCCCGCGCACCCCGCTGACCCCTCCTCCTCCGCTCGCCCTGCTGATGCAGGTCAGGAAACAGCTCGGCCACGCTCCGCACCCCCCCTTAAGGTAACAACCGTGAAATCCCTGCCCGCAAAATAAAATCTGCTTGAAGCCCTCCTGCCGGAGCCTGGTCTGGCGTGGGCTAGAGATGGCCGCTGCGGTCGCTACGGGAACTTTACCCCTCGTTTCCGTCGCCGGGCGCCGGGTTACAAAGTCTCTACCCCAGTTAGCCGTGGTCAAGCGTCAAAGCGAGGGATGAAAGAGATGAGCAAAGAGGTCAGCGAGAAAGTGTACGGCCGCCATATTCACAGTTACCGGAATGCAAAGTTCCAGCGCCTTTGCGAGCGCCTGGTGTATAGGCAACATCTTTCCATAAGTGCGTGCGTGTAGTGCGGGTTGGCCTACCCTGCGTCTCGCAGGCGCCCTGTCCCCGTAATTTGCAAAATGAGTTTTTGAAAAAAACGTAAAAACAAAAAATGAACGTACCCTCTGGACGATCCCAGAAGCTCAAAGCACCGGGCGGTGGCCACAGAGCTATGGGCCTGGGTGGCTTCGCCGTGAAAGCGGTCGTGCCAAGTTTCTGTGCAGGGCTGCATGACGTCTCACTGGTTGGGGAGGGGACGGGGGGTAGGGGGCATGGTGGTAAGGAGCGCACAGGTACAGGGAGGTGCTCACTGCACTTCTCGACCATTACCGTCATTACCATATGTACCATCCCAGAAACACGTCTTCCTCTGTAGCGGATAGGTAGTCTGACAGACAGACAGACAGACAGACAGACAGACAGACAGACAGACAGACAGACAGACAGACAGACAGACAGACAGACAGACAGACAGGGGGAGGGGGGCAGCAGTGAGCAGAGGACCGAAAAGGGGGCCCGCCAAGCCGAGCCAAGAGCACCTGCATGGGACTGAGCAATAGAAACTTTGCCGACTGTGCGACCAGGCCCGGCCCGGCCCGCTGCCGAGCACAAGATCACTCTCCTTCTCCCCTCAACTGCCTCCTCATTTTCTTACCTCTCGGTACAACGCCGTTCCAATACCCCCCCTTTTCCCCCTCCCCCTTGTCCCTTGCTTCTACAAGGAGAATTTGCAGTGAGCGCAAAACACAGCACCGTGTACCCCCAACCCCATTTCCCGAACATCAGGTAATACAGTTTGCGAACCAGCGGCACCTAAGACCCATCAGACCCCTTTCC